TCCTCAACTTAGGTTTCCCATTTGGAGCAGTCCCAGCAACCCTGAATTAACAGTCCAAGATGGCAGTAGTGACTTTAAACCCTAGGAAAGCTGTAAAACTCTTAGTTTCATAAGATAACATCAAACGGATAGTTTCGCAAACTTGACAGTGTGATAATGAGATACATAAAGCCTTTTAAGCTTTACAGTTGCTAAATATTTACTTTACAGCTTACACTTGTTCCTCTTTTATCTGTAATTCATGTTTTATTTTAATTATTGAAATTGTTAACAAATCCTATCTGAGCCCCTTTAAACACACATTGTTAAACTTCGCATAAGCTTCAGTTAAAATAAATCAGTGACCTGCGGGAATACAGGCAGACAACACAAGAAGTACACAGTTGCTTATGTAGGTGTTTGTATACTTTTTTTGTGCTGCACTAAGCTGCTGTATGCAGCGATGATCAGCTTTTGAAGTACCCGGAAAGTTAATATTGACAGTAGCTTTGTGCATCAACGTTAGCTTAATGCAGTAAATGAACAGAGCAGAACATAAACATGACAGAGCTCCTGCTGTGAGAGTGCCGTTTGAATGACAGAATGACTTCTGGCAAAAGGTGTTAAATAAAGCAGAGTTTCGTACAAGATATTACTGTCACAGTGAAAAGCTCCGCAACCCGCCAGATGTGAATGATTGACACAGAAACTGTACCGCATTTGTAGTTCTACCTCCCTGTGTTGTACACTATAGAGCGTGAAAACTTCAATCTAAACACAAGTTGAGGAAATCTCTGAACTCTGATTAACAGCATGTGTCTTTGTGGCAGCATCTTTACTTATGTTTGACCTTTAAAAATGTTTAAGGTAATACAGTGAGCAGTATTATTCAGTCAGTCATACATCACATTTATCACATTTCTTTGCTTGTGTAATAAAAATAGCAGTGTGATGAAAAACAGTGAATAATAAGCCCTTTTCAGAAGATATTTAAATAGCATTGCTGGTTTGAGCTGTTAAGAGACGTTTGTGTCATTGAGACATATGAAGAAAACCAAACATTACTCATGCTTTTATTTAAGCAGTCTATGACTGTTTTAGCATCATATCATGCTGTAGAGAGTACAATTTGCAGAAAGGGCCAGATTTTCTTACTGCATCAGCTGTCTGTGCAGTGCCAGAGCTTGGGCTCTTCTGTTCTGTAGTTCTGCATATTTCTGGCCCTCATTACATTTAAATATGAAGCTTTGAAGAGAGGGGAAGAATCATTGCCCGCTATATGACGCATGCAAGCCGTGGATACATAACAGACAGAAAACACAATTTTGAGTGTTTCGGGGCTCCTTTAATATGACTATACTACAAGGAGTATATACTACAAGTCCATAATGAAAACTGCAGAGAGCACAAAAGCTGCTTTTCTTTATGTGTTTGTTTGGATTTTAACTGTCTCTCATGCCTGATCTGTTACATAAAGTGCATCAAAATACCGCTATTTGACCTGAAGCATGTTAAAGAAAGTGACTCTTCAGGTTTCACTGGATGTAACTCAGCCGCCTGAGATTCATATTCCTTGGGGTTTTTATTTATTTATTTATTTTTTTTAATGCTTAGCTACTGCCAGACAGAGTATGCAGAAACAACAAACAAAAGCCTCCTACTGGATATTACTGTTCATAACTATCAGAAATGGGTTATAGCTGCAGACCTGTTGAGCATCAAGTCATGTCAGTAATGCCACAGAACAAAACTGAGACATAATGTTCGAGGAGGAGGAGTATTAGTGTCACTAACATAGAAGTTCATGTGTATTCAGCTAGCTTGGCAGAACATCTGAAAACATGTTGTTTTGGTCCTTTTTACACTGTTGGGATTGTAGCTAATTGAAGATGGATTACAAAAATATTGAATCTGTTGGTGGTTATACAGTCAATCAAATAAACACAAGGTGATTTCCACTTGTCCTTGGTTATGGGACAGTGTGTGATCTGTGTGCATTTCTTGGGGATAAAGTTTAGTGTCAGAGCAATATGTTAGTGAGGCTGATGAATTACAGATGAATGGCATCACTGAAAATAAATACGTTCACTATGAATTTAAATTATTTTCTGCAGCTTTCCTCAGGCATCAGTCTCTCTCTTTGTGTATTTTATATTGTTTATCCTTCTCCACGACCTGTTGCTCCTGACTGAAGTAGGCAGCGTTTGATTGGTCCATTTTATCCCCCCCCAAAAAAAACCCATTAGATGCCTGCAAAGCAGAAAGCCTGGGTTAAAAAGGAAAGTTAATAGATGCCGTTATGATACGGATTATCTCTGTATCATAACATATTGGGATTCTAGGTTTTGTCGAGCCGCCTAATGCATTGAAATCCCAACTTTGGCAAGCTCACTTTGTTGTATGCGCTTCTGTGTTTTCAAAACTCCTGTTAACATCGACTGACACGTCTACAAAATAAGGATTTTTCTCCGGCGTGGATCATTCTTCTCAGCATGATCTGACCACAGCCTGCCATGTCTCAGCTTTTTGGAGCGTTTTTCAGTTTAGTCGACAGCAGACACCCTCCAAGTGTGACTTACTCATGTTTAGTTACGTTTGTTGCAGTTTGGTTGCAAAAATGTTGCTTGTCAACAACACAACTGCAGATCAGCCTGTTACTCTAATTATTAAAAGCTGAGAAATACACAAAGGGTTTTGAATAATGCACATTTATATGGAAAGGGCTTTTAAATGCAACACTTCTGTCTCAGCTCACCTGTCTTTAAAGTCAGCTTTTAAGAAATGTTCATAAATGCAGTAAATGACAAATTAAATGGAAAAACTGGCACAGAGTGTCTTAGTAATGTTGGTATTCCTCCAAAAGAGCTTCAGTCCACATTGGCATTGATTGTACAAGTGTTCATCAAACCATTCAGTGACCCTTCATCCCCTGTGGACGGAGGCACTATCGGTGTAAAAAACACCACTCTCAGGAAAGAAATGTTTCATCATCACGCTGAACAACTTTGTACTGATTGGCATTGATCTTTCCTCTGAGGGCAGCAATGGACTCAAACTATGTCAACAAAATACCCCCTACAGGATAACATCTCACTGTTCAGGGCTCCCCTTTAATTTATTTAGTTTACTTAACTTTTACATTTGGATGTAGCTTATTTGCTCGTTTGTGCATCGCTTTGTACCTGATAGTTAGTCAATAATCGGCATTAAAGGCTCCAGTTGCCTAGGTAACGCTCCAAATTATTTACCACCCTTGCATATGTTAGTTAATGGTATCATTCACTCTCACTGGGAGTAGAGCTGGGCGATATGAGATTTTTTCATATCACGATATGTTTTTTTCATTTCAGGCGATAACGATATCTATCACGATATAAGCCAAATAACTATATTTGTAAGATTTAAATGGGCCATTGCTCACAAGTAAAATGTGAAATAATCAGCAGCTTGTTTTTATTTAAATATTTATTTCCCATAATAAGTTCAACAGGGTAGATGTACTTAAGGAACATGAGACTTTTTCAGATAAATAAAGGCAAATATTGCAAACTACACAAAAGACAGCCGCTAAAGCGTTTAAGTTTCAAAATAGAACAAATGAAACAGACTAAATTGTCAATTCCACTTAGAAACAAAATATTACTTCTAAAAATAAATCTTAGTTTGTTTTACAGAAGAACAGACAAAACTGACTAACTTTTGTCAATATCAAATAAACTGAGAACTAAAAGGAAATTCTCAATCTCTCCTTGTTGTATAGCTTAGCTTTTCAAACAGTTTTAACAGCTACTTTAGTCTGACAAAAGCCGAATGACGAATTAGCGCTTCCAGTCAGAGACTGAGGCTACGTCCACACGTACACGGGTATTTTTGAAAACGGAGATTTTCCGTTTTCGTTTTAAAAAATAATCCCTTCCACACATAAAGGCAGAAATGAAGGAAAACACTGCTATGAACATGCCAAAGCAGCAGGTGGCGCTAGATTCCTAACCGTGCAGAAATGTTGGCCAATCAGAAGTCTAGAAGCCTCGGTGGGAAAAAGTAAACAAAGCTGCGGCATAGAAGCAGAACAGAGTCGTATGTGTGGAGGGACAGTAACTGTGTGTATATGTAAGCATTTAAACACTGCAGAGAGTAGAATTAACAGTAACAGTATTGTAGAAATTCATTTCACCGAAACAATAACGTGGCGCACAGTGTGACGCATGCACCAGTTCATTGTATTTCCAGACTTGCTTTCGGCACAATTTACAGTGCACGCTACTCTGTTTTTTGCCAGACTTGAAATAGCCGAAATACCTTCACACTACAGAACTTCTATGGCTCTTCCGTTCGACAATCTCTCCGGCGTTGGAACCATCATCTGTTTTCTCTTCGGTCACGCTCGGTTGATTTTTCTAGTCGGCACACTCATTTCCTCCATTACGCGCTGGCTGCTTCCCAAACAAACACACGTGCGGCTTGGCACTTGTGCTGTACGTAACAAGTCACGCGACGTGACGCTGCGGCTGTGATTGGTTCGGCTCTGCGCTACTTAGTTTGGATTGGCTGGTCTTTTTTTTTTCTTTTTTTTTTTTAAAGAGGACAAGAGCGGCGAGGTCTATCGCGATAGCTTAATTTCTCTATCGAGTAAAAGTTATATCGCGATACATATCGTTATCGTTCTATCGCCCAGCTCTAACTGGGAGGCACTTGGATCGATTACTTCAAAATGCTGAAGGTTTAACTTGCGGCCCATCCAGTTTACATCACCAGCAATTCTTTCACCGACCACTGCTTACAGTTTCACGTTCAGTGGTCTCTGGTTGCACCGTTGCTGTTGTGGATGCCCCTTCATTGTGACTTCCCTGTGAGATGATGTTCGGTGAAGTAAACCGTAACACTTGCGGATTGTGTAGATAAAAATCTGCATGATAGATGTGCTGCCACTCTGTAATACCACTTTTGTAATTTCAGAAGTCTCTGGCCTGTCAATGCACATCACTGAGCAGATATGTTTATTTTGCTGTATCAACTCTCAGCTTGTCAGAAGTAGCCCCTTCCTTCCCCGGGTCGCCTCCACGCTGAGGCAGAAGATGGCTTCCTTCCAGAGCCTGATGGATGTGGAGGAGAATGATGCCTGTGATCCGGTGCCAGCGCAGGACAGCAACACTGGAGGATGCATCAAGACAAGAGATTATCTGTCTGGTGAGGCTGCCTCATTGCCACAGGATTAATAGTTTCATTTTTCATTGAGGATCCATGCCAGAAGGATTTCTTTATGATGTCTAGAGGCATCGTTCATAAAGCAGTGGATTAATGCGCTGCACCGTATAAGCCTGACTGTGACAACATCTTACAGCAGGGATCTCCTCTGAGCTTGGTCATCATCTTAAATGGGCCCAGTTTCTAAGCTGTTTGTTACTGAAGTGAGACTTTATCTCTATTCCTCTGATCAAAGGTGTTTGTTTTTTTTCCTTTTTTGTACCCCAAGCTGTGTTTTTCTCATATATTATTTGAAATTTGATATTTTCTTTTCATTTAACTTAGATGCTCCCAAGTCCCATTTGTTTTTCTATGTTTATGTAATATGCCTTTTTTGATTGATGTTTTTTTTTTTTTTTTCCACTCTCAGATGGGAACAGCCATGATGGAGGGAAGGAGAACGACCCTCCAATGATGCCTACACCCAGCAAGAGGAGGCGCACCAGCAGCCCCCCCGAAGGCTGCAGTGTGGAGATTAGAGAGGCCAGCACGCCTACCCTCTCCTCCACTTTGATGGAGCAGGAGGTACACCGACTCACTCTGACTCACTCACTTAACTGACTGCTGTAAATAATTTAGCTAAAAGGTTTTTACCTCTGTGTGCCTGGCTCCCATTGAAGCCGTCGATTATTTTTAACGCCTTTATGAACGGTAGATCTCAGGGCCAAACAGGATTTTTTTTTTTCCTTTTTTGACTACAAGCTTCCAAAAAGAGAAATAAACCAAAGAGCACTTTGATGCGAAATATGTTTGAGAAAACACTGCCAGTTAAAAAATATTTCTCCCTACACTAGACAAAACACTTCACAACTCCACAACTTTATTAGTGCAAAAAACCCATCAATGTATTTTCACTTAAACAAGCAGCTG